TAGATACCTACCTAGCTAGCTACCTACTTACCTACCTAGCTACCTACCTAGCTAGCTAGCTACCTACCTACCTAGCTAGCCAGCTACCTACTTAGCTAGCTACCTACCTACCTACCTACCTACTTACCTAGCTAGCTAGCTACCTATCTACCAAGCTAGCTAGCTAGCTACCTACCTACCCACCCTTCTTTCTTTCTTTCTTTCTTTCTTTCTTTCTTTCTTTCTTTCTTTCTTTCTTTCTTTAATTGTTCCAGAAGTTTCTTTATGTTTGTTCATCCATCTAATGAGGGACAGTACTCAGCCTGTTCCTCTTCGGGAGCCCAGGTGGGTTTGCTTTTTTTTTTCAGTACTTGCACTTCTATGACAAATCTTCTATTTTCAAGATAGTGTTCTTAATTTTTTTCCTCCAAAAAGCAGATATAAACTGTAGGGAATTAGAGGAGACTCCCCTCCTCGCTCACTAAACCACACCGGCTGCAGGTGCTTCCTGGTCTGCGTCTCCATTCTCTATGGTACTTGGTGCTTCTTCCTCTTAGTAGTGAAACCGTTCCCTTCTGACTCTGGCAAACGTTTAACTCGTCAATCTATGTGTTTTTTCATCCCTAGAGCCTGTGCACCTTTGGTTTCTGTCTCAGTTTTGAGCACGTGGTCATAATGTTGTGGCAGATATTAAATGATCGTGAACTCTCTTTAGCCCTATAATGCCAAATGTATCATATTTGATACGTACGATTTCTGAAGTCTTTTGGATCTGAGACTTCTTGCATCATTCAATGGTAAAAGCTTTGCTCAAACCCCTGTTGTACACATTCAGATATACTGTACCTGATAACAGCCAGTAGAAGACTACACCGAAATATATTTTTGACCTATTGCACGCTAATTTGATCAAAAATAATTTCAGTTTTTTTCTTCTTCATATGTCCTTGAGGGACCAAAGAAAGACTTCAGACTAAAAAAATCCAGTATTCTTCCTATTTTTCTTGGATCAGGCTTTAAATGGTTAAGGCAAGGCAAGATAGGAACTTGAAGTGCTTTACTAAGGCATTAATATGGAATTTAAAACAAAAAATGCACAGAAAAGCAATTTTACGAGCAGAAAACGTTGCTGTAAAATTCGATTAAAGCAAAACAAACACAAAAAAAAACACATATTTTCTTTTTTAAATGCACCGAAAGAGTGAAACTCCTAATTTTGTTGATTGATACAATGACAGTAAAGGCTGTTCTATTCTGTTCTACCATCCTTTTTCGGTGTTAAAGCACCTTTTATGCTCCAAACAGGCTCCAGACACTGAGGACGGGTTTGTGTTTCGTACCTTTCTTCCGTAAAGAGGTTCCAGCCATCGATGGCGTTGAGCACGGGGTCTGTCAGCAGCACCTGCAGGGGCACCGAGGGAGCCCACACCTCCAGACACACGGAGCCACTGAGCACGCCCAGTTCAAAGTGCACCTCTGCGCACGTGTTGCCCAGGCCCGATTCGCTGCCGTCAACAAAGACAGCGGAGCAGTCACTGGAGACCTGCGAGGTAGAGACTGGTTATACTGGTGTGTATCCTCAGAGGTATTTCACATCCCTAACCACAGACATGATGTTTTTTGCTCCAGTAGTTTCTAAAAAAAAAACAGCTTTAGATTTTAGATTCCCTTCGCTTTCAGTCTCTGTTTGACTATAAGTCATACGTTTGTTTGGAATGATTGCTCAAAGATCGTGATTCACCATTTTATCTTAAAGCAAGTAATCCCAAATACTCCACCGCCCACAAATCTGCTTTTTCCGGCTTACTACTCGACTCTTCCCTGAGCACACGCAGACGGGTCACTGCTGGGACTACGCATTGCTAGATGAAAATAAACTAAGCAGACACTTAAACCACACAATCACTCAAAAAGGAAATGACTGACAGAATAAATCTTGATTTGTCCTGTTTGTGTCCATCTGCGTTCTGATATGGGCTTGTTAATGTTACAGGTTTGAGTATTCCATCACTATAATTGTCATTTTATCTGACCTGGAATAACCTTTGGTTATTTTAGAATTATAATTAAAGTGAATTATTTTGAAACTGGTATCAATTTGAACTGGATCCACTAAATTGAGTCTCCCTTAATTCTGCTTAACTTTATTTTACTCTTTTGGCTCTGGTAAAACTATGAAATCGTGAGGTTTGCATTTCCCAGGGCTTTTAAATACCATTTATTAATCTGAGATTTAATACTTCAAATCTACATAAACAGCATTAGGTGAACACGTTATTCCTCTCAGCCTCAACTTGAATGTTGTGGCCATGTAAGTTGACTTTTTGTAACTCACATTCTCTTTTTAATTTTAAGTAGTTAAAATATATTTCAGTTTGTTAAGAACCATGTTGAAATGAATTGTTTGGAATTATTATGATTTATTTGGCTATTTTTTAAGATCCTCCGATTAATTTGGGAGAGTAAGAACAGTGGAAGGGGGTTTCGGTTTTGTTTGTGAATGTCAGGTGTTTGTTTTTTTTAATTTGCATCAAAGTTATAATTAATTTTTGGTTATTATTTCCCTATAATTTTACAAGAAATAAAAGGAAAGTGTGTCAAGAACACAAATCACCTGTTGCAACGACGGCCTTTTCTTTGTTGGAAGAATTTGGTTTGGAAATAAAAAATGGCCGTGACAGTGTACGTGTCAGTGTATTTGAGCTTTGGGAAAAGCACCGACGGATCTCAGTGGCTTGGTGAGCTGGATTTGTTCGGCGTGGTTCACCTTGACCGTGTTCTCGTTGGCCGATCGGCAGGTGACCGCAGAGGTGACGTCCGACACCTTCTGGTCGTGGCCGACGGCCAGCACGGCCACAGGCAGGGACACCGGCCGGCTGGTCAGGATGGCCGTGTTGAGGATTTGATCACTCTGATGGAGAGTGAAATATTCACAAATCAGCCTATTTGGTTTTGTTAGAACTTAGCTATAATTACTCACTTTAGCATTGCATGCTATCACATGATCTATGAAAAATTCATGATTTTCGTATTCCTTTTAGAACTATATGTTGTGTTAACGTCTCTGGCTGTGTCCACAGACTCTCCTTTTCTCTATTAGATCTACCTTTAGGTCAACACACCATTTGTTACCACATTCCAGTGTCATCTGCATGAATTAGGACCTGGCCTGTTCATGACCAGAGTTAACTAGCCGATAGGACTTGGTAATGTCCAGCCCTTCTTTGAGGAAGTTGACCGAGCCCACTACTCTGGTTTGTTCAGAGGTTTCCAGCTAAAGAACGGGGCTAACAGTTTCTGGGGGTCTCTGGAGGGTCTCTGGAGGCTCACCTCTGTGACGGGGACGATGCCGACGATGGGCCGGTCAGAGAAAGAGAAGGCGCTGGCTGCCGTGCCCGTGAGCCGGCTCTGGCCGGAGTACTCCACCCACCAGGTGGCCGCCACAGTCATGGCCACTCCGAAGCTCCTCCTCAGCCCGTCCACGGACAGGCAGACCACCTGCTGCTGGAGGGGGGGCCTGCACACAGTTTAAACTCTGATGTCGCCGTGTCAGCAAAAAGGAAACGACCTGTTTGGGTTTTTTTAAATCCATTTGAGACTGATCGATCACTTGGAGTTTCAGTTTGAGGTCAAATTGTTCATCACTGGTCACTGATCAAAATTTGGTCAAATTCTAAGTAAAAACTTGCCGAAGTTCCCAGAGTTTGTAGGAATCATTTTTAAAAACTTCTTCCATAGATTTGGCATCAGCGGATTAAGAGTAATGTGACCTTTAAATGCCCAAAGTCAAAAGAGCTCATGAAGCAAAATGTGGGCTTAATGTCTGAAGACAGAAAAGTGGCTCTCAGGACTTAGGAGAACCCGGTTTAATGATCAGAGCTTTGGCTATTGACCCTTTTGACCACATTGGCGGTCACTCCTTAGTAAAAGAAAATAAAGAGGGAATAACGATCTCATTATGCAAACTCCCAAGCAAAGCAGAAGCCAGCAGTCCACAGAAAAGGAGAGTTATATAGTTTAGAGTTGAAAATAGTTTCAGTGCCCAACGACACTTGCATTTGTGAGAATGCTTTTGTTTACAAGGAAAGAAGACTAAGACTTAAAGGTTGGAGTAGAACCAATCGGTCACTGGGGTGAGCTTTGATAATTGAGTTGGACTTCTTTGTACTTGGCCCATAAAGAAGCTCCCTGTGTCTGAGTTTCTGCTCAGTTTTGCCTCAGCTCCTCGGCCCACCGGCCCGGGCGAGGCTCCGACCTACTGGTGAGTCGGCGGCTTGTGGCAGACGATGGTCATCACGTCGTGCTTGGCGCTTTGGCTTCTCTCCAGGCTCACCGTCCACTGGTCAGAGGTCAGAGTCCGTTGAGCCGTCATGGACACCAGCCCCTTCTTCACCTTCATCCTGAAAGGACACGACGAGTGGGTTCACGCTCACTGCTGAAGGACAGAAACCCACATTTGACCAGTGGTGGACTAAGAAAAAATCTGAATCACAGACTGATGTTAATGATATTTTGTCCACGAATACTTATTAAATATTTCCAAACGGTCTGCCCACTTCCTTTCATAGCTTTTCCCCTGGTTGTGCCGCTTCCAGACATGCATTTTCATATAAAAGCATTTAACCAATCACATTTCAGCCATCACTTGTTGCTAGGCAGGGTCAAAGTCAAAGACGTCTGCCTGGAGGCCTCTAACAGAAAGAAAGTAAATGTCGATTAAACTTGAACCAATCAGATTTTAAGTTGGTGACACCAGGGTCTTCTAGAAGGCCTAAGGCAACGTCACTGTATTCACACCCCCTGATTGGATAGTCAGATAGCGTACCAGCCAAAGCTAGCAAACAAACCGAAATATAGTTGTTTTGGTGTAATAGCTATTTTTTCACCCCACAATGGCTGAAGGAGGAGAAGAAATTAATTTGATGGAAGATTTACTGTCAAGGCCATTTTCAAGACGGACTTTTCAAGAAAAGTAAGTGAGTACAATGTTGCTTTTTTCGTAAATAATATAGCGAGTTTATCAAGATATTGTTGATTGTTTCTTTTGGGGGGTGTCACAGCTGTAGCTGCAGTAGTAGAAGACTTGTGCACCCCTGATCTTTTTACTGTATTTCTACATAAAAATATTATTTTTATAACCATAAAGTAGTTATTGAGGGGTGGATTGATCCAGACGGAGCACTACTGAAGGCCCAGGTGTGAGAAGTACGGTCCGCCACTGCGTCTGACCCCATCCTGATCACCTGATGACCACAAAATCGGCACTGAAGTTGCCCCTCAGGCTGACGGACATTCGGACCGGCTGTCCGATCAGGACCGGGCCTCGGTGATAGCGGACGGTGACGTGAGAGTCCACGCTGAGCTCTTCCGCCTGCTGCCCGCCCAGGCAGCCCTCGATACCCTCGCTCCCCTCCTGAGGACGGCCTTTGACCTCCGTCTGCTCCGGAAGCGTCACCGCCCTGATGTGGTACATCTGCCTCTGGGACTGAGCCACGCTCTCCTCCTCGCATCTACAGGGCCAGCAAAGGCAGACGGGAGGGTTGACGAGGAGAAAACTGATTCTCTTTCTCTCACCCACAGTTTTATTCATTCCATTTTTCTTAAATTCATTTATGACGTTTTTAGTCATGGTGTATTTAGGACTTTGTATGTTTCTTATATTTCAATGTTGTTTTAATGATGATTGTCTTTGCAAAGTGTCCTTGAGTGGCATGAAAGGCGCTTTTTAAAGATAAAATTTATTATTTATTATTCTTATTATTAAAAGGAAGTTTTTCCTTCCCTGTGTCGCCTAGTGCTTGCTCTTGGTGGGAATTGTTGGGCTTCTATAAATAACTTCAGAGTCAGGTCTGACCTGCTCTGTTTGGAAAGCTATGAGATAACTGTTTGCTATTCTGTGTCGCTATAGAAATAAAATTAAATTGAATTTATTGAAATTATCGTCTGTTTTCCAGCTGTTTGAGCTCAGCAGAGAGACACCCGCTCAGAGGTCTGTGGGCCCAGAGAATTAGGGCCAGGGAACATGATCTGAGTCCACAGCTCGTCTCTTCATGGAGGAGGATTGTAAAGATGTGTAGTTCAACCAGACTGAAAAACTTTCTCCATGCTGTTGATCAGAGCTACGACTTGTTTGTGTCTCACTTGAGTCGATTACCATGGATTATCGTGCTACCATAGCAACAGTTCAGCTGGGGAAGTTATTTCAAACTTAACTGACTCCTTAGAGCCAGACTGCCTTCAAATGTACTCGCTCTGATTGGAGGTATTCAGATCCTAACCATCCAAACCGATCATTGATTCAAACCCCGTTGTGTCTCTTACGTCTGAATGCATGTAAATGTGAAGTCCTGTCTAAGAGAGGCTCTCTTTACACGTTAAAACAATCCAGCTGACCTTGTTTGGGTCAGCTGGAGATCGGCCTCTGGGCTGAAGGACGAGTAGTAAAGCTGTATTTTGTTGGGCTCTGGGCCTCGTTGGTGTCTGAAGGCTGCAGGACGATCTGGATGAGAGTCGGCCTCTGAAACCGGCCTGGACCTGAAAGGCACATCGAAACAGGAGCTGTGAGAAAGATCCCGCTTACTCAAACTCCCCCGTTGGAATCCATCCCAGCATCTGTAGCGTTCTCATGCTTTTAAGGGAGAATCTCTTCTTCTGGACAGGCTTCGCTAATGCTGATGGACGCCTGGAGGCTTTGCCGGATTCCCGACTCCGTCCATGACTGGGGTTACCTGGGCGGGGGGGCGCGGGCACGCAGGGGGTGGACGTGGTTGCCGTGGCGACGGCTTTGCGCCCTGCGGCCGCGGAGGGCCTTTTTCTGCCAGGCGTCCGGAACGGGACGCTGATCCTGAGCCTGGAACCATTCACCGGGGAGCGTCAGGGTCACCACGCACAGGCCCAGAGGCTGTAAGACAGGACGGGCCGGTGAAAACCGGGGGGGGGGGGGGGAGAGGACGTCGGAGGAACGTGGGAACGTCTCGGACCCAGACCTGCGTGACGCAGGAGGCCCGGCGCTGCTCCGTCTCTCTGAAGGCGTGCAGCAGGACGCAGGTTCCCCGGGCACCGGCGTCCCCTGGGAGCCGGAACAGAGCCCTTACTCTGAACACCTCCCGCCCCCCCTCGTCCATCTCCCTCTCCACGTTTTCAGAGAGGAGGGACGCGCGCACCGCGGGGGAGGCCGGTCGGAAAGGCTCCGGTACGAGCTGGGGAACGAGACAAAGAGGTACAAATAAACCTAGGATGTCTTTAGTCTTGTAATTGGTGCATTTATACTGTCTTATACTGTACATAATGTTCAAACGTTATAAGTCTATAATTTGTGGGTATATAATATAATTTTGAGGGTTCTTGTCTGATTGGAATTTATGTAAGTTGTATTTCTTTTATATTGTATTATTTAGTATAGAGTGGATTTGCTTTTGTTTTGAAGTTTAGAGAGAGCACCTTTATTTTGAAGTCAAAAGGAGTCTTGTTTGAGCTTTGGCACCAGAAGCAATGAAGCTGAAGTTAAGGATTTTTACCAAAGTTAAGGCTAATACGTCAATGGAGTATCTTGAAGATTTGGATAATTCACTTTTTCTTGCAGCCTACAGCCAACAAGGTATTTTATTTATTTGTTTGCTTTGTAAGTATTGTTTCCTATGCTCTGCAGGTTATTCTGTTTGCTAACTTTATTTAGTTTTCATAGTGGATTTGGAGATCCCAAACCGACTTCAAATAAACCAGTAAAAGAAAACCTACTTGAGTCTGCTTGTGCTTAGAGGGAATTCTACAGCTCATTTTCTTCCTACCTGTGTGACAGAGTAGGGCCCGAACGAGGCCTTGAGGCCGGGGGCCGCGGAGAGGCCAGGGGGGGGCAGCAGGAAAACACTCTGGGACACGGAGAAGGGGCTTGAGTTGTAGAAAAGAGGGCCCGGCTCCCCCTGGGACAGCGCCAGGAGCTGCCAGGGGGGGGAGACCACCGACAGCTGGACCGGCAGCGAGAGGGGCGGAGGAGGCTGGGGGGAGGCCCGAGGCACTGAGGACACCAGAGAAGCAGAGAGAAGGTGGATGAAGAGCTAATGTGTGATTAGGGACTACTTCTGACCGATCCACGCCAGAAAACACAAAGATGTTCAGGTGCCATCAGAGAAAAAGGGGAGCGGCTCCGGACTGAGGGAGCCTTTAAGGCAGGGGGGTCAAACTCAAACACAAAGTGGGCCAAAATTTTAAATCTGACCAAAGCCGCGGGCCAAGATTAAACAAATGAACCTTTTAATGTGGAACAAAGCAAATTTTGCTTTAACATTGAATATGGAACAAGCAATTCTTATTACAAAGAAAAATTTATATATATATATTACTTAATAGTGGAGACATGCAAAATCAAATTTCAAATAAGAAAACACATCAATGGCATTCATTTATGAAATAACGTTTAAAAACTTTTTTCTATTCGCAGCCTTCTGAATTAAATATCAAAATTAAATGAGCTTGTCCATGAAGTTCCTGTTTTCTCCCTTTCTTTTGATAATTTTTGGGAAGTAGCACAGTGACAGCTGTAGTGTGTACCTACTGTCACATAGGAGTTTCTGGTTCCTGTCCTGAACAACAGCAGGGCATTATGGGAGTTGTAGTATGAGCGGTTAATGGTCTGTACAGTACAATACCGGGGGCCAGCTCTCGTAGTCATTTAGTATTGTCTCGCGGGCCAAATATAATTACAATGCGGCCCAAATCTGGCCCGCGGACCAGAGTTTGACACCCCTGTTTTAAGGAATGAGGCACAGTGGAAAAACACTGTGGAAAAACCCCTGTGATGGCAAAGTTTACTGAGTCTGGACATGTTTTGGTCCAGCAGGAGCCAAAATCTAAACGCGATGTACATGATCTAATCAAAGCAAGCTGATTACAATCATCTATAACTATAGTTAGTTATTTTGGATATTGTCTGTTGACTGCCTCGGTTTCAGGATTGGACGGAAACTAAAAGTGCCACTCACCCATTATGGCCGTCCAGAGGAGCAGCAGCACGCCGGAGGAGCTGAGGTCAGCCATCACAACGCCTTTCAGAGGTCAGGAAACGGGTCCATCTGAGGGGTTCCTGCTCAAACCGGGGCCACAGGTGCTGGCAGAACATGAGCACAGCAGAATCAAACCTGGGAATCATCATTTTGGACTTTTTTTTTACTCCATGTTATTCGTCTTGCATTCAGATTTTGGCAGAGAACAAGTCTTTTTTCCACAAAGACATCAGTGCTGATGGCTTTTATATCCACTGACTGGACAGAGGTGTCTATGTGGCTTTTAATATTGAGGCTCCGTCTCAAGTGAAAACACCTTGGTGCTCAAGTTCAGCTGAAAGTTTAGCTGCTGATATGGGGAAGAATGTAAAAAAAAGCCTTACAAAAGACCTGGATTTGAAATCTAACCTAAACCTTTTAAAGCCAACAGTTGATTTGAATGGACCATTCCTTTTGTTTTAAATCTTATTCCTCGCAAACAAACTTCTCTGAATAATTTATTAATGGGTTTGTTAGAAGATAGTTAATTGAATTTATAGTTAATTGAAGTTATTTCAAATATGACAACATCTTAGGTTCCATCTGACGATTGGACCAACAGGTTTGGGACTAAGTCTCCTTTGTTTTCAGCTCTCTCTGACCAAACTCCTCAGGACGGCCATCTTTTCTCACTGCGTTTGAATCTTAGCTGAATTCTCAAAAGCCCGTGGTCAGTAATCTGTGATCTACTGTTTCATTTGGCATCTTAATGAGCCATTTCAAACCTCCCCTTCCTATGCTGACCTCTTTAAGTCAAACTCTCAGAGGAAACATTAAAAAATGATTAATCGATAGTTACTTTATTCACCCTGAACTTGGAAAGGAACTCAACACTCAATATCAAAATAGCAATAAAAAGAAAGGTATTCTCATTTACACAAAGGATTAATAATGTAAATGGTGGTTCAGGGTCAGTAAAGAGTAAAGTAGGACTTTAAAAAAACAAAACAATAGCAAACCAGCTCTCAGAGTCCACATACCATGATGAGCACGCCGCCGTGCCTCCATGACTCTCTCCTTTACTCACCTGTTTCAGCTCAAGGTTCCATGGTCTGCTTCAGCCATTTTAAGATGAATTCATTAAAAATGTTAATGGCCATGTAGGAGTCTTGTGGGCTATTAAATTAAACAAAAAGTAAATGGAATACGGTCTTCGTCAGCTCACTTCTGCCTTCAGCCTCTGCTCTGCTCTCGCCGTCAGAACAGAATCCCGGAGATTCATAATCCTCTTCATGTCCCCCCCCCCCCCTCCCCTCCTATTCTGGGCTAAATCCTGTTTTTCTAATATCTCGATACACCCATATCACAATCCCTCCTCTCGCTTTTCAGTCACTCCCCCCACATCCCCCCTGTTTCAGGTGTGGAGCTCAAACCAGCATCACAGACTCTGAAACACTTCTTTTAAAGCTCGGGAAGAAAATATTTTCACATTTTACAAATCGAACGAACATTTTACTGGTTCACTACAGTCACGTTAAATCCATTTCCTGTTGATTTAGTCATCTGTCAAAGGGTTTTGGGACTTTCTTTTCCATTTTCTTCTTGATTTAAAAGTGTTAAATGATTATTTTTTTTCGTTGCTTCCTTTATGTTGCTGTTTACGTCCTTTTTGTTGCTATCCAATTGTGTTTTTCCCTTTTCTTCTTGATTTAAAAGAGTAAAATTATTATTATTCTTTGTTGCTTCCTTTATGTTGATGTTTATGTCCTTTATGTTGCTCTTTAATTGTGTTTTTTCCTTTCTTAAATGGCCACTGTTCGGCAATCTGGTCGGTGTGAGTTTGTTTTTAAATGGGATTTCGAAATAAACCAATAAGACTGAGTCAGAAGGAGGAAACTACAGAGGGAGGTCAGACCACCGCGGTGTCAACGTTACAGGAAATATGCGTTACACACCGAAACAGCAACCGGAAACCCAGATCCTGACAACCGGGATTAAACGTGGCAAAGCCGGATGGACCTAGAAACTAAACCATAGAGCACAAAACCTGAACGTGGACAAAAGGCAGACCAGAAGAAACAGTAAAGAGGCGGAACGATGCAGGATTAATACAAATATAAGGCATAGAGAGGATGTGAGATACATTTTAGATTGGAGGATTCAGCTCAATCTGCAGAGGAAGGTCTTCTTACAGGGCAGAAGGCGGCAGAATACGCTTTAGGAATCTGACAGATGAGGCAAAGCTCCATCACGAGGTGGACCAAAGCAGCTGGGCGAGTGTTTGTGTGTCCATCTGCGTATGAGTGGGTGTATTTTCCTCCCGGCGTCCCTGCTCAGGTCACAGTGCGAGATGATAATCTGGCCTGGTTGCACATGTCCCGTCCGGAGAAACAATGTCAGATGAGTACAGATTACATCTGCAGTTAATCCAGCAGGAGACCGACACACGGTGGAGGATCTGAGGGGGGGC